GTCCATTCCCCAGTCCCGATCCCGGTCCCGGTCCCAGTCCATTCCCCAGTCCCGATCCCGGTCCCGGTCCCAGTCCATTCCCCGGTCCCGCTCCCGGTCCCGGTCCCAGTCCATTCCCCAGTCCCGATCCCGGTCCCGGTCCCAGTCCATTCCCCAGTCCCGATCCCGGTCCCGGTCCCGGTCCCAGTCCATTCCCCAGTCCGGATCCCGGTCCCGGTCCCGGTCCCAGTCCATTCCCCAGTCCCGATCCCGGTCCCGGTCCCCGCTCCATCTCCCGGTCCTTTCCCACTCCCCAGTCCCGTTCCTGGTTTAATTCCCGGTCCATTTCCCAGTCCGGATCCCGATCCCGGTTCCGGTCCATTCCCCGGTCCCGATCCCGGTCCCGATCCTGGTCCCGGTCCTTTCCCGCTCCCCAATCCCGTTCCTGGTTAAATTCCCGGTCCATTTCTCAGTCCCGGTCCCTTTTCCTGTTCCCGGTCCATTTCCCGGTCCCTGTCCCAGTTCAGTTCCCGGTCCCGTTCCCTGTTCCCGGTCCCGTTCCCTGTTCCCGGTCCCGTTCCCTGTTCCCGGTCCATTTCCCGGTCCCGGTCCATTTCCCGGTCCCGGTTGTTCAGTTCCCGTTCCCGGTGCCCCACCCCGGTACAGCTTCCCGAGTCTCCATCCCGGTCCCGGCCCCCCAATCCCGGTCAATCCCCGGTTCCGGTCCATGCCCCGTTCCCCTGCCCGGTTCGGGTTCCCGGTCCCGGTTCTGGTTCCCGGTCCCGGTTCGGGTACCCGTCCCCGCTAGAGCTCCCCGATCCTCCCGTCCATCCCCTGCTCCGTGTCGGTCCCAGTGCCCCATCCCCGGTTCCCCTGCCCGGTTCCCGCTCCATCCCCGGTTTCCAATCCCGGTCCCGGTTCGGGTTCCCGGTTCTGGTTCGGGCTCCCGGTCCCGGTTCGGGTACCCGTCCCCGGTAGAGCTCCCCGATCCTCCCGTCCATCCCCTGCTCCGTGTCGGTCCCAGTTCCCGCTCCATTCCTAGTTCCCAATCCCGGTTCCCGGTTCGGGTTCCCGGTCCCGGTCCCGGTTCTGGTTCCCGGTCCCGGTTCGGGTACCCGTCCCCGGTAGAGCTCCCCGATCCTCCCGTCCATCCCCCGCTCCGTGTCGGTCCCAGTTCCCGTTCCCAATCCCGGTTCCCGCTCCCTCCCCGGTTTCCAATGCCGGTCCCGGTTCGGGTTCCCGGTCCCGGTTCGGGTTCCCGGTTCCGGTTCCTGTCCCCGGTAGAGCTCCCCGATCCTCCCGTCCATCCCCCGCTCCGTGTCGGTCCCAGTTCCCGTTCCCAATCCCGGTTCCCGCTCCATCCCCGGTTTCCAATGCCGGTCCCGGTTCGGGTTCGGGGTCCCGGTTCGGGTTCCCGGTTCCGGTACCTGTCCCCGGTAGAGCTCCCCGATCCTCCCGTCCATCCACCGCTCCCTGTCGGTCCCAGTGCCCCAATCCCGGTGCCCCAGTCCCGGTTCCCCTGCCCGGTTCCCGCTCCATCCCCGGTTCCCATCCCCGGTTCCCAATCCCGGTCCCGGTTCTGGTTCGGGTTCCCGGTCCCGGTTCGGGTTCCCGGTTCCCGGTTCGGGTACCTGTCCCCGGTAGAGCTCCCCGTTCCTGCCGTCCATCCCCTGCTCTGTGTCGGTGCCGGTGCCCCAATTCCCAGTGCCCCATCCCCGGTTCCCAATCCCCGTCCCGGTTCTGGTTCGAGTTCCCGGTCCCCGTCCCGGTTCCGGTTCGGGTTCCCGGTTCGGGTTCCCGGTTCGGGTACCCGTCCCCGGTAGAGCTCCCCGATCCTGCCGTCCATCCAGCGCTCCGTGTCGGTCCCAGTTCCCGTTCCCAATCCCGGTTCCCATCCCCGGTTCCCAATCCCAATCCCGGTCCCGGTCCCGGTTCAGGTTCGGGTTCCCGGTTCGGGTTCCCGGTTCGGGTACCTGTCCCCGGTAGAGCTCCCCGATGCTGCCGTCCATCCAGCGCTCCGTGTCGGTCCCAGTTCCCGTTCCCAATCCCGGTTCCCATCCCCGGTTCCCAATCCCAATCCCAATCCCCGTCCCGGTCCCGGTCCCGGTCCCGGTTCGGGTTCCCGGTTCGGGTACCTGTCCCCGGTAGAGCTCCCCGATCCTGCCGTCCATCCAGCGCTCCGTGTCCAGCCGCCGCTGCAGCTCCTGCCGGTTGTAGCGCACCGTGACCCGCGCCGATCTCCGCTGCACCCCGGGGCTGCGGCCCGGGGACACCCCCCGGCCCGGGGAACCCCCCCGGGGGCCCGGGGAGAGCCCCCCCGGGGACCCCCGACCCACCGAGAGCCCCCCCGGGCCGGCCGAGCCCCCCCGGCCCTGCCGCCGCCCCACCCGGTTCGCCGCCATCGCTCGGGACGCGGAGCCGGGGCGGCCGCCGGGGGGAGGGGGCGAGGGGGCGGGGCCTAAAAGGGCGTGTCAGGGGCGTGGCCTAAACCAGGAACGCCCCCCGTGAGTCCCTTAAAGACCCCCAGGGTGGGGGGGTGAAGGGGCGTGGTCTAGAGGGGCGTGGCAGGGGCGTGGCTTAATCCTGGAACTCCTCCTCGAGACCCCTAAAGTCCCCCCCAAATTGTCCTCGGGGGTGGGGGGAGAGGGGGCGTGGCCTAAAAGGGCGTGGCAGGGGCGTGGTTTAATACTGGAACGCCCCCCTTGAGTCCCTTAAAGACCCCCAGGGTGGGGGGG